GGCTGGGTTTTAAATGACAAGATCACCAGTCATGCAGTAATGTGTTCTAAGTCTTAATCTGTTCTGTGTAGATTTTTTTCAAGCTGGCAGTCTTGGTGCAAAGTGTATGTGTAAAATAAGTGAAATATTAGGTTTTTTTAAACTGTTTAGCAACAAAATGACAATTTCTTTACTTTTTTAAGGGTTATCAGAATTTATCTCAACTGACTTTTCCCTTTTGTCCTTCATACTGTACTAATAAACATCTGATAATAAAACTCTTCTGACTGTTCCTTAAAGTTAAAATCATTAAAGGGAATGGAATTCAAGAGATCACTGTCTCATGATCACATGTGGCATAGAACAGAAAATGAAACTTACAGGAGTGACTTAGGGATGGATAATTCACCTACTCAGATCCACTATGGTGAATAGACATAGAGATTTAAGCTTTGCTCTTATGATCCTACTTATGAATCATTGGTTTGTGACTGGAAACCAATTGAAACACAATCCAGATCAGTGATAAAGTGCTCCAGCAGGACTCCATTGGACAGGACACAGGGTCAATGATTGAAGTGCCTCCATGGAAAAATCCAAACTTTTGTAAATTCCTCAACCTTTATTAAGTGATCAGAGATTTCATGTTCCATCTGGTGATGGCTGGGTCCGAACTTATTAAATCCCAAAAATCTTCAGTCCTACAGCATGTGTCCATGGATTTGCTTTGCAGTGAGTCCTTCTAGGAATGAAACATTGATGAATGCTGGTTGATCAAGCTTTGAAATTTCCATCAATCAATGGCCCTCTAAAGTGCAAACCAGGGTTCATCATCCACAGACAGTGTTATAAACAGGAAATTAAAAATTGTAAGTAATGCACATGAATTGCACTCTCCAAGTTCCAGAGCTTTCTGAACAGACTTAATAATAATACATAGTTCAGTTTCCAATTCCTTAGGCTTCACAAGGAGTGTTAGTCTGTCTTTTTAGCTCTCTTATCAAGGGGATTGGCCACTTTCTTTTCAGAAGAACCAGAAACCATACCTTTCTTGTATGGAGGAGGTAAAAAAAGACAAGAAGCTTTCTGTAGAATCTTTAGAATCCGAAATCAGTCTACATACTCTCCTTCACCAGTACTTCGCACCTGAATCATGCTGCAGCAGGAGATTATGTCAGGTCTCTGAATGTTTGGTATTGAGAACAATTAAACTCTACTATTACTATTATTATTTGTCAAATCTAATTTAACAATAACCTGAGCCACGATAAAATGAGAACATTTTATTTTAAACCAAGTGTAAACCAGGTGAATGCATGTTTTTGTTTATAGTGTTAAAGCATAGTCACTAATCTTTGTACAGGAAAAAGGTGAAACTATACTGTAGATACAGTACTTCAATTCCCTGGTGCCTCACGCAGGAGCTATTAGCACTTAGCAAAGCTTTACCCCAGTCATTTTTCACAGATAACATGTACAGTATGCGATCCATACATAATTAAATATCTGTTTGTGACCGGCCCTATTCTATTCATCTTCCTGACTCATATCTAAAATAACATACCCAAATGAGCGGTTTGTATATAAAGAATTATTTATATCCTCAATAAAAAGTCAGCAATAAATATGAAATCTCCACTTTGTATATTTATTTTATGTGAATATCAAAAATCCTTGGAGCACTCAGAAAATATGTCCTGTATATCGTTGCTTTTATTTTAATGAATTAAACAAATCCAAATTTCAAGGTTTTTTTAATGATTGCAAGTCCAGGGGATGTCAGTTTGGGCATTGTGTCATTTTGCTCCAATTATAGTATTTGCCTCTGCTTTGGATTCCACTCTTTAACTACAGTAGGTCTGGAGGTTTTCACTCCTGAGAATAGAAGCCTAGAGTTCTAGAGTTCTAGAGTTCTAGAGTTTCCCTGAAGGACATGACGTGTTAAAGCACTACTCTCAAAGAAGAGTATTTGAAAAGGGGTAAAAACTTGCAAAAGGTTCCCCAATGGGCATGTCCATCATTGTGGGCCCACCTGGATCAATGCCCTTTAGTGGTCACCACCCACTGTGGCATCACAAAATGTAGTGCTGATTACAGATATTGTAAGGCCCATCAGAGTAGGCAGGATTATTTTGTTTTAAAAAAGGCCACACATTATAAGTTGTGTTTTAATGGGTAAATCGATGTTTTATAAAACAAGGTATTGTTCTAAAATACAAATGAATTCATTGTGGAAAGCTGTAAGGAGGGGATGGAGAAGTCTAAGGTTATACTCAGATTATTTTTTTCATACCCATAACATGCTATCTTTGTACTCCTCCAAAAAAACGTAGTCATTTGCATCAAACAGAAAAGTATTTTCTGTGCTTGGTAAATGGCTATATTTAAATGACATAAGATATGAGATAAATGGTCTTTGGACTGTGATTTATAAGGAACTGTTCAACTGAAAGTGACAGGACATGGTAGCTTTGATTCCCATACAGAGTATGAGATGTTGCAAAGTCCAGTCATTATGCCCAACGTAAGGTCTAACTACAAAACACTGGGTATGGCTTCTGGGGGTTGCAATCGATAATGAGCCATGTGTATATTCTTCACAGCATTCTTTACATGTGTGCTTCAGTCTTCCACCCTGAACTAACTGACCTCCACCATCAGCAAGATTCTAGATACAGCCATAGTGTTGAAGCGATAGTCATTTCAATCCTTTGAAACTGTAGAGCCTGGGAATCACAGACTCACATGAAATTCACTTGACAGATCACCACCAGTCAGTCCGATTAAATGGTAAAATCGGCCTAACCCTTTTAAAGTGCAGAGAGGCATGTTACATCCTGAGAAGCTCAATGACTCTAAGTGCTTTACAAAACTGAAGCACATCGTATTTGGCTCAGATTGAAGGAGTGCTTGAAGGATTATGCATACCCTCTTTAGACGCACTTTATGTTTGTATTTCTGTATTCCATTAAAAACCTGGTCCACATAATGAGGTTGAATTTGTCTTTGAGCAGGGAGACTCCAGCACCTCAGCTGCAGATAAGACAAGGCAGCAGACTCTGTAATTACTGTACCAGGATGCTTTTCCTACACTTCTATTGTGCTGTGCTGCTCACTGCAAGCCTGCATGTGGAATACAGTATTAAATTACCCAGGACACCTGATATCACATGATTCAGTCCTGCTATCTGCAGAACTGGTGCAGATACAAGCTCAATTTCTAGCTGGAAGACTTGCGGTATTAGAATTTCCCTTGACTCTATTATTCATTGTACCTATGTTGACTGAGAGAAAATCTTGCACCACTTCGGATAGATAAGACAGATATACAGTAAACCCCTTTGTGTTAAATCCCTCATAATTCTGTATTATGCAATAGTCACTTTAATACAGGAGATGTCAAACGTATTGAGGACTTGTTAAACCACTGTTCAGTTAGGGAAGCTCAACAAATCTGAATTTAAATTTCTGTCTTACAGTTATGCAAATTCCATTCTTCTCATACCTACCTTATCATATAGAATTGCATTCATTTGGAATGATGAAATCAGACTCTTTAAACTAATTATTCTGTAATCCTAAGTAAAAAATACCAATAAGCATTGCTTGTATTGTGTGTGTGGTGTCTGAGTGAAATCTTTCAGAGCTCTCTCTTTAAACTGCATTGACATCTACAACATATCATACCAACATACTTCTGTCCTGAAGTTCCAGATATTTTTTTATTAGTAAACCCAGCTTTCTAACTGTTGAAGAATAAAGTGCCTTTTAAATTGATTTTTTTAAATCTTTATTAAGGTTCAGTGCATTGAAGTGGATACTGTTATCACAACATACTGACAACCTAATGTAGGAAATGAGAAGGAAAGGATTTAGTTGACTATTTTAGCCAACTTTTGCTAATATGGTTATATTTTGTGATACTAACAAGAAAGCACACGTAAAACTATTAGAATGACAGGTAAATGAAATAACATAAGAACTCAGCTCTTAACCTTTAATTGCAATCCATCTGAGGGTCTATGAAAGCCAAATTAGAAGGATGGTGTTTTGTGAACGAAATAACCACTTTAATTAAATCCTGTGAAGCACAGGAACAGAATGCAATACATTATGTTTGTTGGCCATAGGGTGCCTTGGAGCATTATGGATCTTATAATGTTATGCATTCGGTACATGGATGGAATATGGCATGTAGAGAACTACTACGACTGAAGACTAATCTAACGCCAATCAGTTTTAAGAAAAACATTTTACCTTAGAAACAGTATTCCAAGTTGAGTTCAATGTCAGAGGATACACTAATTTCAGTGCTAAAATATAGATATTTCTTCGTTTTTAACTGAACTTAATTGTTAAGGAATTGTCAAACATTTTTTTTTAATAAAGTACACATAATATATATGTGTTAAGAGAAAGAGGTTCAAGTTTCCTTTTTTAAAGATTTCATTAAACTCTGGTTTTTCACTTTATGGGTGATCATACTGTACTGCTTTCATGAAACACAAAAATATTGAGAGTCAGGCTTTGATGAACATATGCAGTTATTTAAAAAATTAAGTCATTGATGAATAATGGGCTTCTAAGTGCTTCAGGTATTCATCTACTTGTGCAGTTCTTTCTTGCAGTGCTGATGTCATATGTTAAAACGGATTTTGTTGACAAGATAGTAAAACCTCTTAACCTTGAAGCTTTTAGGTTACATTGCAGTTGACAAAATAATGTCACACTTACTAACATAAATGCAGATTCCATTTACAGCTTTCGCCACATGGAGAAATGGTGTCAACCCAAATGCGAAACAACATTCTCTGAATACTAAAGAGCAATAACTCACAATATATCCCATCTATCGCTTAGCTGGATTTTATATTCATTAGGAAAGCTGAGAATTGTGAGAAATCATGAATGAGAAAAGTTGAAACCTCACATGTGTAATATATTGTACAACTAATCTGTATCCCAAAAGAGTACAGTACATCAGATGCAAATAGTTTTTTTTTTATTTTGTGTTTCTGTAGGTTATAAGTGGATATAACCTTCCTGTCCCCAAACACAGTAAAGGAATCAACCCTTATGTCCGTGTGGAGATTCATGGAGCTCCTGCTGACAACTGCAGGAAACAAACAGACCCTGTAAAACGCACCTGTGAGTAAGAATGTGCCTCTTCATCTCGGAATGTTGCAACTGCCTTTGCTTAATAGTACTGTATTCCCTTGCAAAGCTGTAGGTCTAATGAAAGGTATTGTAAGCTTGTACTTTAAAGGAGACAATTCAAAAACAAGGTTATAGAAATCTGGTCTGTAGCAGCTGTACCCATAGCTCAGGTAATCCTGCCTTGAAATATGGTTGAAGGTTGATGATAGTGTTCAAATGGCCAAAGAAATTGTTTACTACTTTTGATGGGCAGATCAGATCGTTGTTGGCTAATTAATATAACACAATTCAGCAAGCATCACCAAGCATTGATTGGATTGTTAATAATTAACAATTAACAGTTGCTTAACAGAGAAAAGAGCACTTTTTACTAATCTGCAGAATTAGACCACAAAGATGATGACATTGTAGGCAAGACCCAGGTCTCAAGGATTAAGTGCTGTGCACATCAGTAAGTAGGTGAAGCCTATATTATGAGCCTCATAGAAAACATCCAAAGAACAACAGTAATTACGCCAAGCCACAGCTGGCAGTCCATTCCTCAGTATTATTATATTAACCTTAATTGGATAAACAAGGAAATTCTTTGGGACTAAAGTACCATCTTACACTAATGAATAAACAAATAACCTGGTAACAAAGTCTCTGATGGTTTAATAAAGCTTTTAATTGATTGAGAGATGACTGGGTTGTTGCTTTACATGAGGACAGCAGTAAAGCAGTGTTTAAAGAGCAGCTTTCAAAGAAACGTGCAATCAACTGACTCATGAAAAAAAAGTCATTCATCAGCAGCAACAAAGTTCTAGTTTGATCATGTGACCTGACAGTGTTGTATTACTTTAGCAGTATGATCAGCAAATAACAAAGAAACATTGTCATGTGTTACTGGGCATTAGTACAGTATGTAGGAGCTGATCAATAGAATTCAATGAGCTGTGGAACACTGTAGGAAATATAATCCATAAAGTTATATAAAGAAGCATGAGAACACTTCCAAACTTGAGAAGACCATTTGGCACATTTATCCTGCTTGGGAATAAGTGGATGGGATACTATCCAGCCATCTCCTGAAGAAGCCAGGGAATCGGCTTTAGCAACATGGCTGGGTAGCTTGTTCCAGACTCCCACAACCCTTTGGGTAAAGAAACGCCTCCTGTTCTGTTTTGCTCATAGGTTCCATTACAAATAAAAGGACCCAGCCCCCCAAAAAAGCCAGCATTTTAAAATGCTACTAATTTGTTAGACCACATGTAGGTTGCTTCACATACAGTATTCTTATGTCTCTTTCAGAATATGTAAATTCTTAGAGTCTAAAATCCCGCCACGAGCAGTGAGTTGTGGTATGAGCATAATTGCTGGTGACAGCAGGACTTTCCTTTGAAACTGGCTCTAAGCCCCTCTTCTCTTTTTATTCAGAATTTAGAATCACCGATTTTTTTTGTTATCCATGAATATGATAAACTCATGAAAGGCTCAGAGATACAGTCCCTGAGATCAGACACAGGCCAGAACAAGGACGTCTAGGCCAACTCCTGCCCACCTTTGACTAATTCACCACCACGCATCTATAGATGGCGTTGAGCTCTGTGCAGGAGCTCCAGCGCTGATTGCAGAAGAGGTGCCTCCCTCCCAGGCAGCAACACATGCATGCATGTGCCCATTAGGCCACAGGGGGCGCTGTGCAGCTGTGAGCCAAGAAACATGGAGATTGATCCTACCCTACCCTCGCTGGTGCTCATCTAGTTGTGCACAGGAACTTGGGGAATCCTTGTTCGTACTGTAGATCATAGAGTTCAGCGTGTGCTCAGGAGGGTACCTTTTTCCAGTTGAACTGTTCAGAGGACTCCCAGGTTCTTCTTCCATCCATCCATCACTTTTGAAATCCATCAAAGTGCTCAATGCCTGACATATCGGATGTTGGTACATTTTTTTTCCTCTATACTATAGATTATGACATTTTTACAGGCTGACACAGGCATTGCAGTCTTTATTGTCCAGTGATAAGATAAACATGTAACAGGAAGAAATAACCTACAGCAATATGGTCAGTCAGACAGATTCATTGAAGAAAAAAAGGTGGTGTGAACGCGAATTACTTAATTTACAACCCTGTGAGATATTTATGGAATGGGTTTATATCGCTATAAAAGTAATTTATGTTCTGTCCAGTCTCATCTAATGAATAAAAGCTATTTTGCATTGTCTAAAGTACTTGCACAGACTTTGCTTGGTCCTCTGGGCATGAAGCAATGTCAGAACGAGGTTTGATGCAGCAGAAGAGATTGAAAATACACACTAAGGCCGTCACTAGAGATTAAAAAAAATAACTTGGTTTGTTTTAATTAGATATTATTATTCTTTTGAAATCTTAGGCTTTGTTTCAAGATTTCCAAGTCTCTGAGCACTACTTCATCTTATTAGGCCAGGATGCTCTTGCGTCATTGGATGTGAAAACTTCTGTATTTATTTTTAAAGCGATTGAACCTTTTCAAATCTTTCAATCTGAATCGCTCTCCTTATTGTGTAATTTTCAAAAGTCAGGTTTTAGTACAAACGTGCTACAGGCTGATTTGATTGTAAACATATAAAGTTGTATCAATGCCTTGGAGACATTTTCTTACAGGAACAATTTTGTACATTTTCTGTTTCAATGGTTCTGCTGAGTCATCTAAATTATCCCAGTCCCCGTGTTTCTACAGAAATAACTTTAGAAAGGAAATTTAATAAAAGCCTTTCCCATCAATAGTTTATTTATTTAGTTCTTTATAAAAAGTTTGCTAGGAAAATTAACAACAATAGTAACTGTTAGACAGAGCTTTTCAAGGCACATCATTTCCAGGGTCTGTACAATAACACAATTAGACAAAACACTGAAGGCATACAGTGTTAACAAACTGCTGACAATTTTAAAGCTGTCATATTTTTTCCCATGAATCATCTCCTACATGATAAGCCCACATTGAAAGTATAAGAAAAACTAAAACATAATTTTCAAAGAATTGTGATTTTGTCATCGTTCGTTACACTGACGGGGCATTAAAACAATTACAAACAACTGCAATTTCCCTGATAGGCCAACTGAAGACTGCCTGTCTATCCCTACTGCATTGGATTTGCAGTAATCTAGAGACATTATTTCATTGTACTATGCAGCGCAATACATTCTCACTGGTACAGCACAGTTGCATGCAATGAGTTAGACACGGCAAGGATTATATTTTAATACCATCAACAGCACTAAAGTCACCTTTGCATGCATGTTGGAAGCCTGTGAGCATAGCCTTGGTCTTTACTCAAAATTGTTTCCATATATCAGACAGACATCTGCAAGATGCAGAATCCATGTGACATTGGTCATCAGCATAGCTGTGGAACACAGGTCAATGATGGCGAATGATTTAGCCAAGAGGCAACATATACATAATAAATAGAAAAGGCTTCAGTATAGAACTGAGTAGAGTCCCCTCAACAAATGGAACAACATCAGATTTAAGATTAATGAATAAGATTTATGAATAAGATAATAAATAATTGAATACAAACAGGAGCCAGACTAATGAAGGAGTTACCTTTGGGTAGGTGAGGTACCAATGTTAGGAATAAGTTCATAGCAGGCTAGTGCAGTCCTGTCACTTTAGAGAAAATGTAATCTAATCAAGATATTTCATAGCTCATACCCAGCATGTTCTACATATATTCCAGGGAAGGGGCTGGGTCACACAAAGGGGAGTGGAGAGGTTTTCACTGAAAAAAGGAACCTTTCATTTAGTTTTGTTAAATTGAAATACCAATCAGTTCACAGCATTTCTCAGCACATCCAAACAAATGCTGTGGCTTTTGCAGAGCAAACAGAGGTCTTGTCTCCTGCTCAGGTCTTTCCTCTTAATCCCTCAGAACAAAGCACCCAGTCAAGCATCTTATTTAATGTGCTCAGTCACGCTATCAAAATTTTAGTTATTTTAATATAACTTCCTTTCCTTTCTAGACAGAATGGTGAAGAAATTAAATCAACTGCTGAACCCTGAGATGCTTTCAATAACCTGAAATTAGTACAAATTCTGTTTCTCTTTTATCGTAGGTGAAAACCGCAGTAATTTAATCAGAAATGGGACCCAAGCAATAAACTAAATATTGCAGAATTGAAGAGGCCGGTGTTATTTTTATGTCCTGAAATGTAACGCTGACGCCTTATATCTTGAAAGCAATATTGCAAATTGTGAGCTGCAATTTCTAAAAGGAAGCCAAGAGAACTTTGCTCTTTTTCCAGCAAAACTATCATCTGTGAATATAAAATTCATTCAAATTAAGTGGTTTCTATCTGCAAAAACTAATTGTGCCTTTTAAAACACTGCAAAAAGGAATAGAGCTATAAAAAATGCTTTGTTTTTCCATTTCAATTGGTACCTTATTTAGAGCCGGGAGATCTCAACAGAAGTCTATCCCCTTTGCCTCAGGAGTAGGTTGTGATTTATTTAACCCACAGTACTTGTATCTTTAAAAGTGACTTCCCAGTAACATGAGGCTAATTTAGATGTCTTTTATCAAAGGAGTTCATTTTTAGCTTTCTGCCTGCAGCAGAGACCTGGTGTGTGTTGGGAAAAAGGCAGTAAGGACAGTCCTGTGACTTTTTTGTGTTTGTATTAACTCTGTGACTTAGATAGACTGACAAAAAAAGGAATTCTCCAGAGATTTAACGTTACAGTACCTAAATAAATTACTGGGAGAGGTAAATTTAAGCAGCTACAGGTAAAGTCTCCTCAGTACTGAATTCCTAACTTAGCTTTTTCTACTGGTCTGTAGAGTAATGGGTGAGTCCTACTGTCTGTGTTAAAGTAAAAGCTATTTATTGCTGACACCTTCCTCTTAAGCCATTGGGCCTATCTGTAAGGCCAGGGACTCTAAACTCATGTCTAGTAGAGCTTAAAAATTTAATACATTTTAAGCTGATAAGATAAACATTGATCATTTTTTTCTCTTATTTGCATGCAATCAGCCTTAAATCCACGTTGGGATGAAAACATGAACTTTGCTATTCAAGTGCCAGATCTTGTCCTAGTGCGCTTCGTTGTCAAGGACCAAAACAGCATCCTGTCTGACGATTTCATCGGACAGTACACTCTGCCTTTTACCAGCATGAAGAAAGGTAAACTCGCTCCAGCCATCTGTACATCCTACTTGGCGTTCTAATTATTTTTGATAAACAAGTTTGGGACGTTCCCTAACACTGGTCTGCAAAACCAGCCAATATTCCTAATTTTAAGATCCCCAAACCTGTATTTCTTTGATTTAGAGAACATGAACCAGGACTGCATTGCAATGCAAACACTCTACTATATATCACTGTTGAGGATTAATTTTCTATCAGTGGGAAGCTGGTTGCATCATATTTGCCTTCTAACATCCTCAGTGCAACGTGTCATTTTAGCGTGTTTAGACAGGTAAGAGGTGCAAAGCCTTTTCCTGTTCATATCTTTGCCATCAAACTAGGAGACCTTGTTCTTCCAGTTACCTTCTCTCCCTGCTTTCTTTTAAAATGTTAGTCATCAAGGTTGAGCCTATCTGTGAATCCTACAATGTGCCAAATATTTATATGTTCGTGAAAGATGAATAGTGTTCTATTAAGTTACTATTTTGACAATGCCATTTCCTTAGGTTAACAATTGACTTCTTCACAGCATCCTCTTGGGACTTGCTAAATTTATGTGCTGGTCATGTGCTGCATACAATATCTGGCTTTCAACCTGTTCTCCTGTCCTGCACCTCTGTTAAAAGAGGGTGTGTCAGGATTAAATATTCCAATATTTTATGGAAGGGTGCTGTCATAGGTCACATTTCCCTACTGGAGTCAACTTAGTGTGCGCCATTAGCAACATCCTAATAATGCTGAAACAGTTTTGAGCAGCAGCTGATATTGTAAGCACTGTTCTGTCGGCTTCTCATTCTATCAACAGTTCCAAAGGTACTGTATTTCACACAACTGCAGTTGATTTTATTTTCTTATCTTATGCCCATCCATGCATTCTGTTTATGGAAAGGCATAGCCTGACTGTGCAGTGCTTTGGTCTCGAGGTTTCCTTGATTACAGGAGACGTGCAGAGCTGTGCTCCCAAGGACAACTGGTCGGCCAGGAAACTCTTGATTCCAGAGCAGCTTATAGCTGTGTGTGCTTAGCCAGACAGAGTCCTCTCTCATCACTTTGTATTGTGATTGCATCCACAGGTTACCGCTGGGTTCCACTGAAGTCAAGGGAAGGTTACAGCCTAGACCCAGCTTCGCTCTTTGTTTATGTGTGGTACTGTTAATAATGCAGGTGCTCCACACATCCATCTCCTGGACTATGGGAATCATACTAATGTTCCTAAGGTCCTTTTCACCTCTTCACAGAAGGGAAATTGTATATTTCCTTCTTTGACACTTGGCATTTCATTAAAACATAAGCCATGCACATCCACTCCTCCAAAAGTGTATTTTCTTGTTGTTGTTTATAATTACAATTATTTCTGCCCATCTGTGTCGTCTGCTTTCTGAAGCAATCCGGAGGTTTGACACACATTTAAAATGAGGTCCTTGCTGAAGGTGGCTTATTTAGGGTCTCCATTGATGTATTACTTTTATGTAGTATTTCATTCATGAAAATTAGACAAAGTATAAGGATATGTTTGCTTACGAAAAGAGCAGGATAATAGTGGTGAAAATCAAGGAAATAAAATATACTGTAGGTAAATTGAACGCTATTATTTAAAAAACAAAATAATACAGATTTGAAATTGGAGTTTTATGCCTCCATGTTAAATTACTCTTGGACCAAAACGATATTTTGTGAAAGGGTGCAACATCTGTCCTAATATTTACTAATCTATCACACTGGACTCTATGTCACGTTGTTGTCATGGAGTGAACTTCTTCAGCTTTATGGTGAGCTGCCATTCCTTCCATATAAGCACCACAGGCACAAGGCACAGTTTGTCTTGCACATTTTTCTTGACAAGAGCTTTGTAAATCCAGCTGATTTTGTTAAAAATACTGAAGAACAATATGCTTTGTGCTATCATTAAGGAATAAAGGAAAAAGGTCTCTATTGTTAAAAGATAATACAAATACACTTAAATGTCAAGCTTTTTATTTTTTATTGGTAGATATAAAGATAATACCAGTTTACTAATTTAATTAAAGTATATTTACATGATATTGAAACCTAAATATTGTGCACTTGCACTTGCTTTATAGGGTTACAGTTAGATGCAATATAGTGCCTTTGTCCTTTTTATATGTGTCCAAAAACAACCTGTTGATTATTTTGTGGTTGGTAGTCAACCACTACCAGAGAAATTCAGCTATTGAGGGGTTTGTGTGAAGTATCACGTTTTTGCTAAATTTCCAAAAAAAGACTCATTCAGAGCAATTGCCCAGAGAACAAGAACTTGGATAGGGAAGAAAATTTCAAGATGTCAGTTAAAATACACAGCACGGTGTTTAAGACTGAGGGAGGAAATTGGAACAACAGGAGAAAACCACATGACCTCTGGGGTAACATGCAAACTCTTAAGACAGGGTAACATGCAAAGCCCAGAGGCCGGAACTGAAGCCACGACCAGTAACAAACAGTTCTTTCCGGACCCTATGCAGACGACACAATCTGGGGTTGAATGAGAATACAAGAGGGGAAAAGGGCATGCAGGAAGCGGGGATGGAAACAGGGGGGCGTGTCCAGGAAGTGCGTGTGGTCAGGGGAGGTGTGGCCGAGGCAAACCATCCAAAACAGAGTCCATTGCGAAATCCAGGAAAAGCAAAAAGTCCAAAGTCGGGCGGTCCATCCGAGACTGACAGTTAAAAACTGGAACCGGGTCGGAACCGGCAGGGAGAACAGGATCAGAAACTTAAAAACATAACGGAGCCAGGCGATTGCAGGTCCCGGGCTCGCACGATACGGGAATCAATGCAGAGCCCCGAACTGAGTGGGTGTCTGGCTCTTTAGGAGGGCGGGAAGGAGGCTGGAACAAGTCCGAAGTGAAAGAGCTGGAGAGCCCTTAAGGAGGAGGGACTACAATCGTGGCACAAGGGCTGTATGATTATCACCATCCATTCTATTCTGGGACACATCGATGGTGAACCCAAATTCCTCATTTATATCAGCGACTGCTTTGGTATTTCTGAAATCTCAAAGGGGATGTTTGGGGATATTTTAATTACAAAGCCAAAACACAAAAGAAAAAAAGCCTCACCTCAAGTGCATTTAAAAAAAAAACATTTTCTCTTCTGCACTCATCTGTAATTAGAGTGCTGTAATCGAGTACAGTACATGTCAAGAGCTCAGGGGTATTTCCCAGTTAACGGTTTATCGCTGCTTGAGAAACTGAACTATTAGGTATTTGCCTGAAGTATAATGTGAAATATTTTAATAAAAAAAAGAGTTCTGCAGTACAGCTAGCAGGTATTTTTTAAATTAATATCATATCTTTTTTTAGACTTCTCTTTAGTCTCCCAAAAAGTCAGACAGTGTCCTCTAGTGTTTAAGCAGTAGACATGCTAGTAAACCCCACGTTTCTGAAATACTTTTAATTCCAAGAGAGTAAAACTCACAATAAATAAAAAATAAAAATAGGTATAATCTGTGTTTTCTATGAAACAGCACAGGCTTTTAATACAGTATATGTTTTCACTTCTGCCTTTAAATATAATCAACACTAACAGCAGGAGAATTCTAATGTAAGAACTTGAGTGCTTTTTGTGTTTTTATTGTGTTTCTGAAGGATGACTGAGTTTATTAAAAGACTAATTGGGGTTATTTTTATGGATTTTGGTTCTGGCTATTTGTCTCCATTAGTTCGCTTCTGATCCACTATGGCTTTGCCTCCGACACACTGAAGTTACATAACCCTGCTAGGAAACACTAACAAGAATGAGCCACTGGTTTGAGGTCTCTGTTACTGGTTCGTGCCTTGCTGCACCAAAACGGACACCAGGTGCCACTGAACAGCCTGCAGAACATACAGTACAAACATAAACCATCTTGGTGGACTAAAGATTTGGCGATGTACAATTTATGAAAGGCCAGGGCAGGGGGTTGAAATGCCATTGGACAATGCTGTTTGCATGCTCCTGGGTTAGCTAATCGCAGGGGGTTTCCTAGTGAGTGCCGGGAGTTGTAAGTCATTCAGCTCTAATTTTACATTTGCAGTGGCAACAGGTGCCCTCCTATTTTTCACTGTGACACCATACACCATGGAGGGATGAAACATCACAATACTCACTCTGAAAGGGCATACTGTACATACAAAGGACAACAACAATGAACTCCACTACAAACACATTTGGAACCCTCCCCTTGGTACAATCCTTGTGGCAGTGCCCAGTTTAACCAACACATCTGTGACAGAGGCTGTCTGTGTTATGTCCTTCAGGAGGTACTGTACATAATCACAATAAAAGCCAGATGGATGCCCTATTTAGTCCTAACCTGTCAGATCAGGTTTTGTAAGAATATGTTGCATATGCCATATGGGATGCACATTGAAAATGACAAAACCTTTGTAGTGCTCCCTGCAAAACAAATTAAACAACTTAAACACATCTATGGGTCATTCCAGCCCAAACAGAGTGTGTCCTCACAGAATGCCTGGCTGATTTCCAATATTGAATGGCCTCTCATTAGCTAAAATTAAACCCACATCAATTGAGCAATACTATTGATTGGCTGTAACATCAGATTATTAAAATCAAATAGAAAGGAAACCATCTAGAAAAATTATTGACAAGCAATGGTATCTTTCTTTCCTCAGGTGTTAAGATCTTGGGCAGAGTACAGGACTGAGCTTTTCAATGACCTTCAATTTCAGTCATTGATGGGAAACACTTAACCTTCAAGCAACATTGCTACATTCAGTCTTTTTTAATTCCACCCCTCACAATTAATGGTAGACAAATTTGTTGTTGCAATTGCCTTGTTTTCACAGTATTCTAGGATCATAATGTTATGATGTGTGAAGAGTGTTATATAACATCAAATCTGAATTATATTGTTGTGTCATGAATCTCCCCAATGCACTCAAATCAAAGCCTCAAACTAAACTTGTGTATAATACATTAATAGCAGAAGTAGAATTATCAATCCCTTGTGCTTTTGTATTTAAATAGGTCAGTAAAACCTATTCCTGGAAGGAGTAAAACAGAAGGATTTCAGAACTTTGGGGATGACCTAACATGACCTCAGAAAAGGTCATGCCTTGTCCTTTTACGGTAGACCCCAGAATGGCAGCTTTCTATTTGAAAGAAATAGGAATACACATTCTATTTGAATGTGTATCCGTTCGAATTTTTCAATTCGCCAGGCAGGTGTGCAGGCTGGTGTCTGAACCAGGCTGTGCACTAGGAAGGTCGCTTGCTTCTGAAAACTTTCCAGACTCTCCTCGATGTTTCTGGTGATGAAAATGTACTAAAAAAAACATAATCGTGGAAATGCCCAGAGAGTAAGAACCATATGCTAAGCGTTCTTTGTATGAAGCCACACAAAATTTGCATTTTCCCCAGGAGAATAAAAAATCTGAATTCTGAAATGAACATGGAGCTCTGTGGAGTATTCAGAGGTGAAACAATATAACAATGCTCTAAGAAGAATGGAAAGGAGAGTTAGAGCAGTGCCAAAGAATACAACTTTAAATCATAAGAGTAGTCTCATTTTGGCAAGCAGATTTTTTTTTTTTGTGGCTACTGTGTTTTAACGCTCAACCCTCAGTGCACCAGCCTTGGCAGGATTTACAGACATCTGCTGTGCCGCTGGAATAATGCCCAACTGCCCTACAAAGTGAAGATCAATTGAAGCAGTAACACTACGGATCCCATAAACATCAGGAAAGCCTTTTGAATTAGCAGACACAGTTATCAGGTATATGCAAACAGAGGTGCAGAATAACAGTAAAGGAAGTACAGCTCAGGTCAGAAACAACGGGTACTTTGAAAGAGTAAAGTGCAAATTTTTAATCACTATAAGAGTATACGAGAAAATAAAGTGACTACTTTTATTCATGCAACACAGCACAGGAAAACAGTGGTTCTGAATGAAAATGGAGATGACCCTGATAAAATTAATTTCCTATTTGATGTCTCTAGAGGCTGTAGTCAAACTTAACACAGACTGCAGCTTGCAGAATGTGGACTGACCCTGATCCTGAGTCTTGTGAAGGAAGACATTGCCTATATATCAGAGTCACAAACACTCAGGTCCTCTCTGGCCATCTCAGCATCTTCCCACATCAGGCAGGACCTGAATTAGAGCTACAGTATACTTGATTTATTAAATTAGATAATAGTTTAAGGCCTACGTTGCCAGCTGTTAGACAAAAGCTGTCTGTAATAACAACAACCCAACCAAACAAGTGCAAGTTTGATTAGTAATTAAGCCATTTTTGACAGCAAAATTGGTTATCATCAAAACTGCATTATGCTTAATTAAATTCTGTTCGCAAGACACCTGAAAGTTGTCCCAAAGGCCCTTATTAAATCATAGGTTTCTAATCAGCGTTAAGTTAAAATGTGCAGTAAGGATGGAACTTTTTGAGTCTTTTTTTTTAGTAGCACAACTGCTTACTATTTCCTAAAAGTGTGGTCATCTTAAACGTTAATGATGCAAGCCCATCAAGAAAAACTGATATTAAAAAGAGATTTTTCCCCCTCTTTTGTTTGGGAAATGAGTAAGGATTGCATTTGTTATTAGATCCTTTGGGGAGTTTTTTGTTTGTTTTGCACCGTAGCCGAAATCTCTGAAAGTCACTCCAATGGTTTGAGAAAAGCTTTGTTTTGTCTTTCACAGCCTGCCCATCATGATCTGTGTGTGTTTCTTGGTAACATTGTAGGCTGTGCATCAGCTGTGCACCATAAAGAAGTGACGAACCTACTGTACTGGTGAACCGGTGTTAAAGTCCTCCGTCTCGGATGTGAAGACGAAAGGGGATCTTTCCCTGTGATTGAAAAGAGGTTTGAAGGGTACTAGGAATGGAAGCTGGGAGATTATGTGGAAATTGTCTTTTCCCCTTTACATCACATAACATTATACTCCTTTTCTATAAGAAAATGTTAGTCTTAAGTTCTGTCAAAAATCTAGTCATGTTGGGTCTATGTTGGATGTGCAGGTGAGACCGTTGCGGTTCTGCGCGGGCTCGTGCCCTCACCACCACCCCGCCAATTCGTCCTGCAACACCTGGGGCGCGATCCTGGGTCTCCGGCGTCACGCAACAGGGAACCAGCCGCATGAGCTAAAGGGGACCTCCCCCAGCCCAGGCGGCTGAGGACCCTGCTACGCCCAGGGAGGGAGATGGCGTCACCGTGTCCGAACCAGCTCCACTGCACTGGACAGTTTTGTGCTCAGTGGCTCTGATCTTCAGAGGAGATGCCTCTGTGATCTGGTCTAATCTGAATTGGTTCATCTGAAAAGGTGGGGGGGGGGGGGGGGACCTTCTGATGGGCTGTCACAGCTCACGGTAGACTGATATGACCAGCAGTTCCCAGTGTAGGAGACTGGTTATGAAAAAGTCTTAGTATTTATGGTGACCCATTCATTCCATTGTCTAGTTAAATCGAAGAAGCATGAAAAAGGCCGGAAAATCTTAAGGCTTAGTTGAAAGTGTAGAATTGAAATCAAGAGATGTGATGTTAAAAGTGTAGCACGACAGACATAAAACTTAAATCAGCTCAAGCATTTGGCTGCTACTGAAAAAAGAACTGGCTTTGAGCGACTTGCAAAATCTGCAATAAGCTTTTCTTCATAAAAGCAGAGCTGAAGTGACAGGCTCATAAGGCTTAATGCTGACTAGTGTCCCTCACTTACAAAAGCAATTGTGACCATGAAACAGCTGAACTTGAAAAAAATATAGCAGCCAGAGAAAGATCAATATCCGAAAGCTACAGTATTCTAAAGGTAAACTGCAGAACCAGTAATTTATAGAAATCTTCACCGTATCTACAGTAGGTCCCACAAGAATAGGTGGTGGTGAATTTGATGATTTCTTAATGACTAACAAGTATTTAGAAACGTAGAATACAAAATGTTCAACAAACACCAGCACAAACACAAAAGGCATGGCATTCATAGCATACTGCACATCACAAAACCCATCTTATGGGTGGGAGCAAGTGTTTCTGATCCAACATCCCAGGGCTTTAACCTCCATTGGAACGTAGCTGCTGAATTTCTGGAATATTTGCATTTTCTCATCTTTGACTAAAATACCACCAGTTAAGAAAGAAAACATGTTGAAAAGATCACAGAGGGATCACGAAAGAACACCAGCGATTCAAAATATTAAGAAATGTTGTGTAATTGAAAAAGTTTTTG